CTGTTCACTCAGTGTTCTAAAGAATAATTCACTTGCTCATATTCTTCTGTTGGATCTTCCAGACATCATTAGTAGCAATAAAGAAACACAATGACGAGTGTTAAACAGTCTTGCAAACTTGCAAAGCCATAATCCTACAATTCCATTATTTGGGAAAGTAAAGTGACTACCAAAGAGGCCAGAGTAACAGAACCCTTACCCTATATACAACACACAAGCTATCACAAAGTAATGAATTTATGAAATTAAACTTCAATTATTACAGCACTGGTCATCATCTGTTTCTAAATTGTAAAATTAAATCATAAAAATATAACATTTTAAAAGACTGACAATCAAATTTTACAATCTCATACTATTTAAAATTGTAGAATTTAAAACACAAAACATACTTGTCAAGGTTATATGGAATGATTTACATTATTTCAAATGTGTGTTTGGAAAAAAATTATCTCAGGATCAATAACTAGGAAACAAACAACAAAAGCCACATCTATGCAAAGAAAGCATCATTAGTATCAGAGACATGATATTGCACTTTTGAGAGATGAAGAAAAAAGAAGTGAGATAAATACAGTTCTTGGAAGAGCCAAATTACAGATCAGGGAGCATCAATACATGTACATGCCTGAAACGAGCAGCAGTATTATCCCGCTACTGTAATCCAGCTTTTTCACATTAAACCTTCCCTGCAATTGAACACCCATCTTTGAACGTAGTAGGGCAATTAATTTAAAGCAGCTCATCTACTTTTCTCAGGCATGCTATCTGATCTAATAGAAGATAGTAGCTCGACATACAAAACTCATCTTGGAACTAGAATGCTCATAAAATGCTCAGTGAACCAACATACATTTTTTCCAGTGCACACATGCGCACACACACACACAAATCCTGTCTTCATTTCTCTTCAAAACTAAAATCGTCCCCCAACCTGCATTCAGGTTAGTCTACTTTGACAGATGATTTTATAATACAGAAGAACTTGTCGAATCTAACAATTCACCTATTTAAAATAGCTAACATCACAGATGAGGAAAACACTAGACAATAACTAAATATAACTTTAAAATCTGTAGTATTGCTAAGTTATATAAATGCTATCTTAAAAGCATTGCTTGTAATACTCCTTAAAGAGATACATAAAGAGAAACAACAGCACACAATTGTTTCTACACACAGCTATAAATACTAACTCTTTAACTCCTCCGTTCAGGAGACTGAGCTCTCAGGATGAATGGCCCCAGATGAAAATTGTCTTTATATATTCCTGGCAACGGATTTAATTCAAAACATTCTTCTTAAATGACACCAATATTTGTTCTTTCAACCTCATTAAGCTTCTTTTTATTCAAACTGATGTTCAGATATTTAAAGAGGAATGGAAAACTGCAATTGCTGCCCAGTAGTAAAATACCATCAAAATCTAAGCCTGTTCTCTTCTAACTTCTTCCAGCATTGTAAGAACACATTATCACTTCTAATTATAGCAGACTTTTGTTACTTGGGCTAAAGATATGATTCCTGGGTACGTGTTTCGCCAAACTGGGGAAAGATGAATCTGGGAAGAAAGTGAGTGGAGAAGAAGGAACTAAGAAACCAGCTTGGAAATTAGGAGCAGATGTGGACCTAGTAAGCACAGACCAAAAGCCATGGTTGGATAGGAAAAGGAAAACACAACTGGAAATAAATGGATAAAGAGATAGGAACTCAAATGAGCCTCAAGAGGCTGAGATTGTTTAGGTCTGGTGAATGCAGGAAATAAATTGAGGAGATGCGGGGAGATATCCAATGAGCAGGAAACCACCAAATTTCGTACATGAGGCAAGCAAAGACAGGACCCAAGGAACAAAAGGTTGCTCAACCTCACTTAACCTCAGTTCTGGAAAGACATGACAGTATATCCTCTCAGAAACTATTTCCAAACATGTGAAGGAAATGAAGGTAATCGGGAAGAGTCAATGCGGGTTTTGCAACAGACTAATCATTGTTCACTGACCAGGCTGCACTCTAGGATGAAACAACTGCCTTTGTAGATGAAGACGGAGAGATGAATGTAGCATACTTAGAAATTACCAAGGCTTCCAACATCATCTCCCAGTCAGTAACAAGCAGAGTACAGCAGGGATAACAGCGGGACAATTTTTTTCTGTATCTTCATTGTTAACCTGGATGATGAGGCAGAGAACTGGCAGATGACACCAAACCAGTAGTGATGCCTGGCTTCTACCCAGAAGGCCATTATGAAAGTTCAGCACTGGATTAAACAAAACATCATCAAGCTCAATAAAAAGAGGAATGTTCTGCAACTGGTAAAAAAAGAAACCTAAGCATCAGTACAGGAGGGAAAGTGATTGGTTGAGCAGTCGTGCTGAAAAGGATTACAGTGGACCTGAAACTGGAGATGAGCAAGTGGGTGTGCTCTCATCAAAAGAAGAGCAAACCACATGCTGGGCTTTAGAGAAAATGTGGCCAGTAGGTCAACGGAAGGTATCATCCACAAGCTACCTGCCTCTTGAGCAGTCACTTCTGAAACTCTGAGGCCTGTCTGGGGCTTCCCAGTTCAAAAGACGTGCTGAAAACAATCACAGGGTTGAACAGATGGCTACGGGCATACAACCTACCAGGAGAGGTTAATAGCAGCTGGGGTTGTTCAGTCTGGCAATAAAGACAGTAAAAGGCCATTTGATATCAGCCTATTAGAGTGAATAAGCCTATCCCTTTACCTGAAGGGAAGCTGCAAAGCTGAGGAGCCAGATTCTACCAGCATGTTATAACACAGGAGAACACACGCAAATTATGGCTTAGGAACTTCAGTTTCAAGATTAGGAAGAACTTCCTTACTAGGAAGGTAGTACTGTGCCGAAAAAAAGTTTGGAGACTGTGGAATCTCTGTACTTGTATATTTTTCAAGATCAGGCTAGACAAAGACGGCTGATCTGATCCAACAATAGTCACAGACCTGCTCAAAGCAGAACGACAGACTAGCTGGCCTACACGAGGTCAAAAAAACATGCCTGTGATTCCAAGCAGTTGGGATGAAAGAGTCAAAACAAAACAGACTTCAGTGGAAGATTCAGGACAGACACTGGCCAAGTTTGAGAGTAGGAGGAAAAACGCCTATACCTACAAACCCTTACTTTGCACAAAATGCAGACAGGAATTAAAGATTTCTGTGTATCACTACTGCTCTGCTGGCATTTCATACTTGGAAAACACTTGGAAGATGCATCTCATTCCCTTCCATACAGATGATGACAATTTTCTGCTTCTCCTTCACAGTCATTCTGACAGCACAAGTGGCAGAGGTTTGCCTGCAGGTGCCAAGCCTGCAGAGATATCTGTGCGTACTAATACAACATCAGAAGATTGTATTTGCTGTCCTAGTCCACACTGCAGAATTCTATGAGGTTACACAGAAGAACATGTTCAAGTTTATCAAGGATAAGACTTAATTAATAACACGTATATTTTCCCCACAGGCAGCCAGTAACTCTGTGATTTTTTTCCCCACCAGGTACCTAAGACCCTGAGACATGATTTCATGGGAATTAACAATTGCAACCAAGCACTGAATGCAAAAACCTGCATATACTGAAGAACATGTCCTACACGTCCTACAGTTCAAATTCAGGATCCACATTTGGTGACTACTCTTGACCTTGATCTCACAATGCACAATTGTTAAATAAAATGCGCAAAATAATACGATGCGATGTTAAATACAATGCGCAATTGTTAAATAAAATTAGAAATAAATTGTTAAATAATTGTTAAATAAAATTAGAAATTGATTTCACTACCCAGAAGAAAAAGCATGAATATGTGTTCACGAAAACCTCAAGATATTTTGAATATTTCATATGAATATGAATATGAAAATATTAATATGAATATAAACATGAATATATTAATATTTTTTGAGAAAGGTTCAGAGACAATACAGCACACCAAACATGAAATACACAATATTTTATATCTTCACATTAAGTATTATCCAATTCCTGCGCTTGAATGAGGCCGCATTTTATTCAGGGGATTATTTTTGAAAATTCTCTATGTTGCTTTCATATACCCACACAGATACATGCAGCTTCAAAAACGTAGGTTTGTAAAATAGGAAAATCCGTAACTAAAATAACTAAAAAATATTACAGTTAAAATTATACAAACATGTAAGTTAGTCATTTTTAATAGGCATTCTTCTATGATACGGAGATCATGGTTTCTTAAACATCAGGAAAAAAACCACAAACAGCAAGGTTACTTCTTTATACAAAAAAAAAAACCAAGGAAAAACATGATCAATGTATCTATTTCATAGACTCTTAGCATACAACAGAAGATAACCACAGAAAATATTCCAGTTGCAATGTATAGTTTCTGGATGAAGCTCAATCAGTAAGCACTGACACAGTAAGAGAAACATATTTTCACTTAATAGACACAGTGTGCTCTACGTCAACTTATATGCTTTTTAAACTAGGCCTCCAAAAAAGTGAAAATCCAAGTTGGAGGTGGTACCTGCTTTTAACTCTGACAGTTTTCAACAAGTAATTTTTTAAGGGAAAATAACACTTTTCTTGCGTACTGTTCAAAATCAAACAGATCTACGCTGACAGACTATAGTATGAAAAAACAAGATGAGATTATGTTCAGTTTCATCAACACACTGAAAACACGTTAAATATTTGCAGAAGAGTAAAATTCTTCTAATTGTCCTTGAAGATTTTTGCATGGGCACAGGAAAGTACTTCTGGGTCAGTCAAATTAATGCTGTTAAGATTTGACGGAAGATTTTTTTTTTTTAATAAAGGAATTTAAGAGTAAAAAAAAGCAGCAGGCCATCGTGTAATATTTACTGGCATTTGTCCTCATGAAGTAAAAATTACCACATTTTAATAGCCTAATCTACGTATACAAAGTTTGCCAAGTGCTTACAGACTTTTAAATTTTTTTTGAGACTAAAAAAAATGATTTCTCAAGCTCTAAGTCTCGACTTACCGAGAAAGTGTTGATTTCCCTGAACCAGGGAGGCCTCTTAAGATTAGGAGCCATTTCTGTGAGCAGAACCTTCCTTCAGGCAACTGCAAGGAAGAAAAGCTGTGCGTTCCTTCTGTACCGTCAGCCTTTGGCTCCTTCCAACGCTCTTCTCTGGTTTCACAGAAACCATTATTTTGAAGTCCATTCTGCTCATTATTTCCATTTCTGAAGACCTGAGCAGTATGGATATCAGTATGACCAGCATACTTGGTACCTTGATCAGGCAACGGACCATGACTGTTGATATCAGTATTTCCACGGTAATCTTGATAATTTTTGTAAAAAACTTCACCATTCTGAGAAGGAAAAGCATTTGTTTCTTGTGGTGGTGAATTAAGTATCTGAAAATGCAACTGATGGTTGAATCTAGGAGGAGGAGGAGGAGGAGGTCCCTGAGGTACTACAAAAGACCCTGCTGACTGCCAAGCAGGTCTGAATTCAGGCACTGAGTAGTTCCAAATTTTAGAATCCACTTGTCCATTAAAGGTACCATCAGTTTTCCAGCCACTTGTTTCTGCTACAAACTGCTGCTCATTGCTTGTTTTCTGACTGTTCTGTTCCCCAAAGAAACACTGTCCATTCTCATGAAACGGTTGTGGGCTGCCCAACGACAGGCGTTGATAATCCTCTTGCGAGGTTTCACTACAGTCATACGGAGAGCACTGTTCCTGAGTAGTTTCAGTTTCTTTTTCCTGAAAATTAGTAGTTAAATTTTCATTTTCCAGCTGGTGAATTTCCTTATAGAACTGGTCCAGTTCATCATCTATTTCTGGTGCAGCAGAAGAAATAGTCTGCATCTCCTTTGCTTCCTTTATTTTGGCCCTCTTTTCATGCAATTCATTCTGATCTCTCTCATTGCTTCTACATTCATTGCAACTGCCAGATTTGTCCCGTCCATTACTTTCAGCAGGCTTGTAAATCGGTCCGATAAATTCTTTGCTTGTAAAAAACTCATCATCTGATGCATTTCTATTTAATGAGAATGATGTACTGCTATTCTTAGTATTATCTTCACCAGCACTATTTGTAATAAAAGGGTCGTTCTTTTCTTCAACTTCAGTGTCATTTATTGATGCAAACGGAGGATTTATGTTCTGCACAGTTTCTGAATGAACTGGCTGACTAAGCACTAGATTATTTTCAGGGAGCACTTCATTCAGTGCTCCCAAGACCTCAGCAGGTATTTTCTCTTGCTTCTGCATTTCACATTGCCATTGGTTACCTGAGGCATATGCTGGTACCAAATCATCTGGTGCTCTCTCAGTGTGCACTTCCTCCCAAATACCTTGGTTATCATCATCAGAGGGTTTCTCATAAGCCCTTTCTGTTGACTTCATTTTTTTAGAACATGGTTCAGTTGCAACTTCATCCTGATACTCCAAAACCCTTATTCTACTTTCAGCATGAAGCATCTTAGGGAAAAAAAAATGTTATCAGCATGCGCATTTTAAAAGTAAATAATAAAAAAGCAAAAGTTATTCAGGCCTATAATATGCATCCTCACACGTCCCAAAATGTACCCAACTAGAAGAAAAGCGGACATCGCATACCTGAAGTATTTTTTAAACAAATCTACCACATTACTGCACACATCTAGCAAACAACTACAGTAGTGCTGTACCAGCCTAGAAGTCATATTTTATACCTTAAATAATTTACAAATCCCACTTTCAAAACATGACTATTTGAAAAATTAATTACATCAACAACCTCTGTTCTCTACTGACCTATGTTCATCTGCCAAGTGTTATAAATCCCTTTTAAAAGACAAATGTGTGCCAATTTCCAATGAACAAACTGATGCCTGACATCACTGTTAAAATGACCACCAAAAATGAAAATACTTCAACCATGAGGATTATTTTCTGTGACACAGACTGAACTCAACTAATTCATTTAACACCAACCAAATAGATGCCGGATGGCATTTATAATTTGGTACTTGTCAAATAAGACTTAAAATCAAATCTGCAATCTGTTACTACGTTTCTGGTTTTGGAACAATTAAAGACCTTTGTTAGGGACCAAGACCACTTGGTTGTACGTTTTCTAACAATAAACCCCAGAAAAGCAATCCCTGCTCCAAACAGATTGCACTCCCAGAATGAGCCACGAAGTTTCCGAAAGATTCACAGATGAGAGCAATTAAAAACAAAGCAAGACAGCATCGACCACCATAACACGTTGTCATGCCACTATGAGTCAGAATTACTTGGATCTTCCTGTGTATTCTAGGGGTCTAGATAAAAGGCAATAAAGAGCAACAGTCATTTAACTATAAATCAAGTGCCTAGTAGTTTATTCGGTAAACCCCGCCACCCAAAACAAACGCAGTACCACACTAGAAAGTATTTCTTCTACCAGGGAGTTTACTCTATACCTTTTTTGAACAACTTTCTAAGAGTACGTATTAACAAAATGACATATGCTTTTCATTCTGGGCATGAAATGAAAGGTTTTTTCTTTATCTGAAAAAGATCTGGACGTAGTACTAAGGAAAGATTTGCCAGTAACATTTACCATATCATGTTCACTTGCAAAACTGACATGAGAAGGTGTCCCTTTGGGCACTTTCTCACCCACTATCCAAAGGAAGATAATCCTGCCAACGTTGGTCTCAAAATGCCTAAACCAGGACAATTTTACTGTCTGCATTCGACTTTACTACTTGGGAAAAAACCACTAATGTCAGAAGGGGGGGAAATATATCCTCTTCCTCATAACTGGTGGAACAATATTGTGCGTACTATGGTCTCCCCTCAAGAGACATACACTTTATTCATACCTCCAGCTTCTCATTTCCTCCTTTCGGTAAATTAGAAAGCAAGCATGGCATTGTATCAATTGTGGAATCTACTCCCCATCTATCAAAATCAAAAAATGTTACTCTACCTCTATGCACAAACAGGATTGGTAAAAATACCCCTGTCACTTCACTAGCTTCTGTGTCCTCAGCTGTCTTCTGGGATGGTGTTTTAACCAGAGCCTGTATTCTGATGTGGAATGGTATCTGGGAGTGTGAACACTTGCTGCACAACAACGGAGGATGCTGCTCTGACCAGCCCACACAAGAATATCTTTTCTTTCTGATCTTTAACAGACTTTCTGTGACTACCCTCTGGGACTGTGAAGTTACAAGTGAAAACTTCTCTACCTGCAATCCTGGGGCCTACAGAGCAAGTATGTACTGAGAAAGCGCAATCTGTGTGGCAGTTTTGCCTCTTGAATGGGCTGGCATAGATCTGTCCTATTTCTGTAACTGGTTGCAAGCACTGAACTGGAGCTGGCACATGTCATCCTGAGATATCCCTGACGAGCCTCACCTCATGCTGTGAAAGGAGTCAACATAAACTCCAAAATAAAAGAGAAAAAACCCAACTGGCAAATGCCCACCTGTGCCCCTTGCCCAGCAAGGGCAGATGGTTGACCTGGCATCACTAGGTTAGCAGTTGGGCTCGATGATCTTAAAATATCTTTTCCAACCTAAAGTGTTCCACGATTGCATGTGACTCAGCAGGCTGGAACCCACAACACTAAATTACCACTTCAACTAATCTGACAAACATCCAGAAGACCCGACCAAGTAACTCAAAGCCTTAAGCTCCATCTGTACAATAAATTTCCAAGTTGGAGAAAGAAGGGGTGTGCGACAGAACTTCACAGACGAGGGAAACCGACCGGCCTTGCTTGCACGATCACCTCTTCCTGTGCACGGCGGTGACAAGGC